TGCATGACCAACAAGAGAGTCATACACCACTTGTCTAGCCTCTCACAAATGGCATGGCAGAACGGAAAAAGAGAAGAGACAGAAAGGCAATGACTTGTTTTCTCACTGGATGTGATTCGTAAAAATGAACTACAGCTACATTGAAGTTGAGCTGAAATAAGGTTCCAGGACGACATCATAGCAAAAAATATCTAGTTATAGTGGTAACCATCCAGACCTAGACTCACACTACACCTGGATATGTATGCATATGTCTATACTACCTCAATAACAAACCAAAAACATGAATGGAGAAGCAACTTGCTTCATTTGTACAAACAAACAGAAAATGCACATGCAGGTGCAAAATAACAACATTTCTTAAGTTATTATCCATGGCAAAGCATTAAAACACTAACAAGGATGATTTGTCTTGGAATTGGTCTTCCGTGTCCATCAACTTGCCCATTCATGTATGCCTTTCCTTCTTTCCAGGCAGCAATAGTGTGTGTTTCAAGCTCTTCTTCTGTTAAATTTGATCCATGATTTCCAAGCTGCATAACAAAATGAGTATGCATTCAGAGAAATACACCGAAATATATATCATATATCAGACTAATACTTAGTTTAATTAAGAAACTTTCCTAGCACAAAAAACACTTGATTAAGAATCATGAACATACCTCTCTCAGAATCAAAATAAAATCCGAAGCACTAATAACTCCAACAAATTTCCCCTTGCTGAAGTCCCAAAGCGGAGCAACAGGGATACCCTGAAAACGGCTCGACTCAGAAAAAGATATGTATACAGCTCTTTATCAGCAACAATCAAATAGGCATGAACATTACTAAGAATGCAAGTAATGTCCATGGAGAAATCTAGATACATCTACAGCTAGAAAAAGGCTCTAAGAAGCAATGATTAGCAAAGGAAAAGTACAGACACACTCTATCTTTTGGAACATGTATCTTAACCAACAAAAAGATCAGGAACGCACAGATATCCCAAAAATAATAACTAAACTCTAGCCTGTGGATGAACTAAACAGATACCTGCTCAGCCAGAATATGAAATGCTTGTTTTACAGGCAAATCAACAGCCAAGGCAACAACCTGCGGAGCAGATCTGTCTAAATTAGCAAACTGGAAGTAACATGCAGAGAAACGTGTATATCATGGAGGAGGGCCAATGGGAATGCATCCAAACCTTGCCTGACTCAGGTAGTAACTCATAAGCCGTATGTGCTGCCAAGAATGCAGAGATTTGACTGCGGGCAGCCTGTACATCCTCTTCTGAAATCCTAGGCATTACTTGATTTAATATAACAGCAGAAAGTTGCTGCTGGTATTGCAAAAAGGTATCAAAATCCGCTTACATGAGAAAGTAAAAGGAAGTAATAAATGAATAAATAAATAAATAGATGTAGTACGTACTGAGCATGTGTTAAGAACTAAAATGAAAGCACCAAAACAGAAAATACTACAGTGCTTGCAATGCCCATCTAATCTCTGACGAGTTAAATTGATATTATAAAAAAAACCAAATCATTAGAGTCCATTTGACATTGCGATTGGAATTGCATTTGACTGCAAACTTATGCCAAACTAGGCCAAATTATCAACATCCATCTCAAAACTAGGCTAAAGAAGGAAAATACTTCAGGAAAATGTTATGCATAAATCTATACCATGACACTGTTATCCACTCTCATGTTATTAAGAACCTCTGAATGAGGTTGTACCTGAGGAATGACCTCTGCAGGTACAGGCCTAGTGTCGAAAGTATTAACCATTCCATATTCGCTGCTCCTATAAGGTTGTTGTTCATCATGTCGCCATTCACCATCGACAAGAAACTTGTACTATATGTAAGAACCAACACAAACAATCAAATAAAGTACAAAGAAAGGTCAGGGCTAAAAGATTTGAAATCACATGCTCTATAAGTCGACAATAAAGTCACCCAAAACTAAATATCCACTCATTTCAACTAATAAAAGTGACACAGCAATTATATAAGAGCACTGAACATATTAAAAAGATATGTTACTCAGATTCAAGTGTAAGAGTCAACACGGGTACATTTCCAAAATTTGTATGTTCAATTTCAATGGAGCAAACTTGGAGAGTTATATACCCATAAGTATATTAAAAAATGCGTCAAATATAGGTGTCAGATACCAATAAATCAAGAAAAATGACAGTCGCAGCAACAATGTTAGAAATTACAAAAGTTTCTAAAAGTTTGAATTTCCAATTCCTATAGAGCAAACTAACCACCAACCTCGTGAGAACCATGTGGCACGGCACAAACGGCTTTAAATACATTGGGGCAACCTTCAACCTGTGACATTCCCACGAGCTCAGTCCACCTTCAATTTCAAACGATAATACATTAATCCAATTGCTAATCATACGCCTAAATATCATATCAATAGCATGTTTAAGAAAAAGAGAAATAGATTATTTAAAGTATCACCCATTGAAAGAGCCGGAAACAGAGACACTTCTTCCACCATATGGCCATGTAAATTGAATTGGAAACAACACCATGCCGGCCGTGGAAACTCTGCCGCCATCCCTCGCCCGATTCATATCGGAAGCAAACATTTGGCAGCCGCCTTTTTAATTGAATTAATCCTTTGAACAACCAAAAGGGGGGAAAGAATTTTTTCAGTAATCAACTCCCTTTTTTAAGACAATTTTTATCTTCTTCAATCACTGCAAATAAAGAAGAAGAAAAAAGCTCAATAAAGCAACAATAATAACACCGAAGACTTACCTTTAACTTGATTGCACGGACAACCTGGATTTTTTACGAAACAGAAAGTGAGAATTGGAACTCAACAAACAATGGAGGCAAAAGGGTCGAATTTTGTTTTGGGGGGGAACTGTTTAATTGAGGATGAGAAAAATAAAAATCCAAATCTGAAAAGGGATTGCCAAAGTAAAAAATAAATAAAAGTTCGAATTTTTCCTGAATTTATTGAATGTGGGTGAAAAGATCGAGATTGGGGTTCTTGCGATATGGAATCTGCTTTTCTTAATAAAAATAATCTTTTATTATTAATAATAATAATAATTTTGCAAACCCTAAGGAAGAACAGATGAAAGCTTTGAAAGGGACATTGTCTTCGGGTAAAATATAAGGAGATTTTGATGCTGAAAGTGAAAGGGGATTTATATATATGTAATATATTCATTATTTTTCTTTGTTTTACCATCTGTTATTCCATAAGCATATTATAAAAATTAGGATAAACTCATATTTAGTATCTCAACTATTATTTTTGTTTCGTTTTGATCAATTAATTATTATTTTTCAAAACAATGCATAACGTTATGTTTTAATTTCATTTTGATCATTCGCCGTTAAAAAAATTAACATATCTGTTGATGTGGTATTTTTTAAGCTTCTTCAATGATGACATGATAATATCTTATGGCAATACATCAACATCACTATTAAATTTTTAACAATTGGTGGTCAAAATGAAATTAAAATGTAATGTTAGATATGATTTTGAAAAAAAATTAGTTAGATTATCAAAATAAAACAAAAATGATAGTTGGAGTACTAAATGTATTATTTAATCTAAAAATTATCTTTTAGTTTTTTTCTTTCACAATTAAAATTTAATTTTATCTAACATTCTAAAGTATGATCATTTAATTATTCATATGATACGATATAGTATTAATGAAGTTTACGATAATAATTATTGTTTGATTTAATTTTGTTTAATTAATTATTAATAATGTAAAATAATATAAATATATAAAATTAAGTATATTTTAATGTTTAATATTGTTTAGAGTAAATTCTATTTGATGATCCCTTTATTTTCAATTTGTCTTATTTTGATCATCGATTTTAAAAAAGTTATATTTTGATTCCTTTTATTTTCAATATTCTTATTTTGGTCACTCGATCTTCAACTCTTGTTGGTTTATTGACCCTTAAATCCGATCAAAATATCCATCACCACTAGGGTGCTTAATGAGTCAAGCAGCTCGTAAGTTGTTCGAACTTGACTTAATCAAAAAGTGGTCAATATTTAATTCAGGTTGACTCGACTCGAGACCTTAACGAGTGGAATTGAACAAGATCCAACTCGACTCAATAAGTTCGCTAGCAATTCATTATTTTTTTTATAATTTTTTAATTGTTAGCTTAATAAATTATTTCATTAAAAGTAAAAATTCTCATTAATAATTACTAATTTACAAATAGATAATAAAAAAGATGCTAAATTGCTTATTAATAATTACCACTAATTTTATTAAATTTTCTAATAAAGAATAAGAAATGTAATGAATTATTAATTTAATTATTAATTTACTAATTATTAATAATTAATTTACTATATTTTATATCTATTAAAAGACAAGATAAAAAATTCTGATGAGCTTAACGAATAACAAGTCGAGTTGGACAATAATTTTTTTTAACGAGCACAAACCGAGAACTGCTCAACCTACAATAGACATCATTATCACCACTCGTATTATTATTACATGTGTTGAGAATGTAATTATAAAAGATCATTGTATTTAAGTAAGAGTTCAAGGAAAGATCGAGCCGCGACCTATCCATGTACAAGTTTAAAATGTAAAGTTAAATGTCATTTTAAACATTTATGTTCTTCGAATTCACAAACTTTTAAAACAATAAATCAAAGTTTATCATTAGTATACGTAAGAAATGGATTTAGTCTATATACTTTAATTTAATTAATTCTAATTATTATTCTTTTAAAAATTTCAATACGAAGATATAATCAAATAAAAGAATAAAAAATAAATCTATAATTTACGTACAATATGTAAACTAATAACTGATTTTGACTCAATAGATTTCAAAATAAAATTAATTAGACTAAATCTAAAAATAAATCTATAATTCAAAATTCAGAAAGTGTAGAAATTAAAATTTGACAAAATAAAACTAATTAAACTAAAGCTAAAAGTTTTACACAATAGAAGGACTAATAGAAGAATTTGGAGAAAAACACTAAGAACTAGGGACGACCATTTCACACATATCCGACAGGTTGTAACCAGACTTGATTTGATCGTGACGGTTTCTTTATTTTAAAGTTTTGGGTTAAAGTTTGAATCAAATTTTTTTTAAGGATGAGATTGAGTATGAATCAAATTTAGGGTGAAAAAACTCGAGTTGAATGTAAATTTTGACCTAAAAAAGAATTATATATATAAGTTAGATCACATCAGGTAGAATAAAAAAACTTGACACTAATAGATATTTATTTTACATAATAAAAACGAATTACATATAAGTTGGGTCGAATCAAGTCGAATGTATATTTATCTAAAATTAAAGTCACGTTTGAGTTAACTGAGATCTTTTTTTATTTGATCGAATTAAATATAAATGAGGATATTTAATTTTTAAATCAAATTTGAATAATAAAAAAATTTGATCTAACCCAATTATGGCCATCCTACTAAGAACCTAAAAGAAAGAGTTGCTTCATGTGGGAGGAAAAAACAAAAAAGATTCCCGTTTGTCCACAAAATGTGCAACCGCAAGAAAAATGCCCATAAACGTTGTCGTTTTGTACCGGTTACAAACAGTCCCACGTTTTCCACGCGCCATCAACGGAATTTATTTACACCTGAGAAAAGGAAACAAAAAGAGCGAAGCCCATTTAATATTATTAAAAAGATAAAACATTTTGTATATCTATTTATTAATCAATTAATTTAAATAAACTATTATAGAAATTCATTATAATAATTTCAACTACTTTACTTTAAATATCAATATTCAAAGATTTGATTTTTACATATAATTTATAATACAAATATTTTAAACTTTGTAAGCTTTTTTATTTTTTTAATAAATATTTTTTTTTTAATTTCTTCAGACGTAAGTGTGAACAAATTTGCTGGAAATAAAGAAAGGGACCACAAAACGAACTCGGCACCGCGTCGCGGGAACGAGTCAATCATGCGTCGGCGCCATTCGTCGATCACTACAATCTTCGTCATCTGACCATCAACATTTCTCTGACTGTGAGTTAAAAGAAGGGGGGAAAAGCAAGAAAAATGAGAAAAATATAAATTAACGATTTTTGTCAAATCGATTGATATTAAAATGGATTGCTTATGCAATATTTTTCTTGTCTTTTAATTTGATAGGATTCCCTTCGATTTCGAGACATTTTCTTTGTGGGGTTTCTAGTATTTTTTTTGATATTTTGTTTCATTTTCATTTATATTTTTAAATTTTGGTAATGTTGAACTTTGAGGGGTTAAGGTTTTGCGAGGTTAGGGTTAGGGTTTTTGGAGGGGTGGTGGGTTTGGAGATGGATGAAATTCAGAGCTTGAAGAAGGAGAAGCTTACTTTCACGATTATGAAGACGACAATATTAACCTTGATACCGCCTTCTCTTACATTGTAAGGCTCTGTTTATTGTTATGTATTTTTTTGAAGAAAAATCCAATTATTTCTACTACTGCTTTCTCTTTCTGAAATTTGGAATTGTGCTCTAGTTAATGACATTTGAGTTTTGGGTAGGAATTAGGTTGAATTCCGAGTTCCAATATGCATTTATGATATGTAGGCAATGCAATTCTATTAAGCATAATAAGCAATGAACTTATCAGGATAAGTTGTGGCTCTGAGGCTTTAGGTTTGAGTTTATTTGTGGTATGTGAACATTGATTCACTAATAGTCTAATACAATTTGTTGGTATAGAAATGATGAAGAGTGATGATGGCGAATGTTGATAAATGAGATGATATTTTAACTTCCTTTGCATACTTGGTGGTTATCTAGATTAATTTTTCATCAGTAGGAATGTTAAAAACAACTAAAAGAGTAGATTTTTAATGTCTTCCTGCAGTTTTTATAGCTAGTAATGCAATGTGACAGTATTGATAATGATAAACTAGATACACCATTTTCATATCATTTTCTAACTTATTAAAAGTTTGTGGTCGTGTCACTTTACTACTAATAATTTATTGACATATTGTTTGAGAAAGACGAGACATAGAAAAGAAAGTAAATGATAAGCTGAACTTCATAAAACACTTGTCTTGTCTCTCGGTAGAAATATGCCTGTATGATCTCCGAAATTTCCTCAACATTTTGGAATTTTTTATGTTGATACTGTTTGCCAAATGCCCAATTAAATTTGATTAGCTTTATTTGTTTTCTTAACTTATTTGATCTAAATTTCTATTTGAAATATTGAACTACGATTAGCTCATATGTTCCTGAAAAGAATGAACTTCAAGATGCTTATAACAGTTGGCTTGTTGAGTCTGCTATAGCTTTACTTCAATCTGGTCTATATTGCAGTTTTAATTTACATAAACTTTCAAAATTCTCTGTGTTATTCTGATAGTAATATGGGATTTTATTTCTTAAAGGATGAGAAGATCAAAAATGTTTTGGGCCATTTTCAAAAAGATTTTGAAGGTGGAGTTTCTGCAGAAAATTTGGGTAAGTGGTTGATCGCTGTTTTAACAAATTTGCAGTTATATCACAAACTTAATGTTTTCCATTGAAGACGATGATTTGGACTTATTTTTTTTTCAGGGGCAAAATTTGGTGGATATGGGTCATTTTTACCTACCTATGAACATTCTCCTCCAAGATTATCATGTCCGAAGATACCACAAAAAAACACCGGCATCAACCAACAATTTTTCTATGGAAGTATATGGACGATATCCTTGCTATAGTTTGTTAATTTCTTTGGAATATGTCCATAGCTGTTGCTTTGACAACTTAATGAAATTCTAGTTTACTTGAGTGCTGTGGATTGTATTACCATACAGGATGCATCTCAGAATTTGAAAGCTCCTCCAAATGCACTCCCAACTGGGAGAGCAAGGAACATTTCCTGCCCAAGTGCCAATATTGCAGCTAATCACGATTCACATTTGACTTCTGCTCAAGTTGTTGAGAAGTCTGCCTTGAAGGATGAGAGTTTTAACAGAGCAAGGATTCCAAGTGATCAGAAGACATTGAAGGTTCGAATTAAAATGCGGTCTGAAAAAAAAGCACAAAAACTTGCTGCAATCTATAGCGGTCTTGGGCTTGATTTTTCTCCATCTTTGTCATTGGGTGACAGTCCTGATGAATGTGGAGGAACATTAATGGTATCTCAAGAAACCACCAGCAAATCACCCACTAGAATTCTCCAGGTAGAGGTTTCTTTTGGTTCTTTTCAGGTCTGCTTATGAACTAAAGAAGTATGCATTGATATTTTCTGCCTTTAAACAGGTTATGACTTCCAATCATGTCCCTGGTGGTATGCTCATATCTCCTCTTCATGACAGTCTGCTATGCTTATCAAGAAAGGAAAATCTTCAATGTTAATAGATGATTCTGTTTTGGGTAATAGAAAACAATTACATGAGAAGAAACCAAAATTTTTAATCAGGAAAAGTGAAGAGCTGGTGGAATCAAAGCATAGAAATCACATGTATGTTGAGAGTGGGAAGACATTGCTCATAAAAAAGAAGCAAGAGACTAAGATTGCAGGGGGGGAGTCATTGCCCAATGACTTGAAACACACATCTCCATCTAGCCCTTTGAATATTGCTATGGAGGCCACCGCCAGGGTCTGTGATGTCTCTGCAGAAGCTAATCAGAATGCATTGAGGGGTGGATTGTTTTCTTCTGACTCTGGAAAGGAGGATTCTTTGGAGTCGATATCTGGAAGAAGCAGACCGAGTGGCAAGAAAAAGAAGCGGGATAAGAGGAGTAGTTTGGATGAAAAGGGTTGGGAACAAAGTGTAGATAATTCCAATAAAAATGCTTCACTCGACCTAGGGGACAATTTTGGAAGCAAATGCTACCAGAAGTCTGCTCCTTTAAAACTTGAGGAAGATTCAAAAACAAAGGTTGGTCAGATAGCCATATTTCATGTACAAAATAAAATAAGTATTCCCTCCAAGAAGGAAAAGACGCTCGAGGGCAAGAAGTCAAAAGATAGCAAAAATACTGGAGAAGTTGCTGATTCGATGAAGGAAAGCTTGAGACCTGATGTGGGTTTGACCCTTAAAGATACCACTAGTTCTAATCAAGGTTTTTCTTCAGATAAAGATAAGATTTGGAAATTGAAGTTACAGGAGGATATTAATAAGGTTCAAGGTAATGGTAGAGATGCACTGGAAACAAATTCCGAACAGAAATGGGGCCAAATGGGGTCAACAATGAGGCATTTTCAGAATAGGCTAAAAGGTTATGATCCAATGGATTTTGAGATGGAGCACGATGGCTATTTGGATAAGTTGAAGGTAAAAGTTAGTGGTAGAACAGTTGATAACCACCTGTCTGGAGTGGCTGCTCCAGATGTGGTTCCTCACCTCTATGATAGGAGGCTTCCCTCTCAGATGGCTGCACCAGCTGCACCTGCTCCTGTAGTCATAGAAGAAAATTGGGTTCTGTGTGATCGTTGTCACAAGTGGCGACTTTTGCCTTTTGATACTAGACCAGAACAACTCCCTGAGAAGTGGTTGTGTAGCATGCTTAACTGGCTGTAAGTTATTTAGATTAGTATCTAATAAATTTTTTGTTGAATATATCTCTCTTTGTTTGAGTGCACACAATGATAGGTATATGTATATATGCATTGTCCACCGTGTGTAAACATATGCATTTATATTTTTCTTTTGCTGATTTCTTTGTTGAAATCATTGTATAGGCCAAGAATGAATCAGTGTGACATTAGTGAGGATGAGACAACAAAAGCTCTCAATGCATTGTACCAGGCTTCAGTTGCTGGGAATCAAATAACCCACAAAATCATGCAAATGGAAGTATGCCATTTATTACTTCAGCTCAGTCTCAGCATCTTGATCAGAACAACTCTAGTTTCAATTCTCAGGCTTTATCTATTCAAGTAAAGAAGAACAATGGTCTTAAGGAAGTGCAGAAAGTGGGTAGCTGTGGCCTGAATCAGATGTCAAACTCTAAAAAACAACAACAGTGGGAATCTTTGAAAAGCAAGAGCCTAAATGACATGACTCAGGCCCCTGTGAACCAATTGTCATGAAGAAATCCTCCTTTGAAAAGAAAGAAAGGCTTATAGCCGGAGGTATTTAGTTGATATTACAGCCTGAAATTCAGTAGCAGTTGGACTTTTATATTGAGATTATTGTTATTCATTTTGAGCATTGTTTGAGTGTAGGTGAGACCAAGAAAACAAAGATGAAAAACAAGAGGGAATCTGGTCCTTATGCATATGAAGGTTCAAAGAAAAGCAAAGTAGAAGTAGAATACACTAACGAGAAACATCACAGTTCTAACTTAGATCACAGAAGGGTGGGCCTTAGTTCAAGAACTAGCTTGCCAACTCAAGCAAACGGAAGAAGCATGAAGAATTGTAATGGGGGCTCTAATTCTGGGGATGTAAAGCATGATATTAAAGAAAAATCAGTAGCTTCCGTGAAGAAACTTGTGGATCAAACTCTGGCGTCATCAGATGGTGGGTCATTAGACATGAAAATATGTGATAAAAGGGCTACTGTGAAGAAAAGGAAACCGGATGACTGGCAGGACAGTCAAAATGGGAATGAGTTGTGCATGAAGGATGAAAGTAGTGAGAGTGGTTTTAGGAATGAAAAGAAGTTACGGTTTTCTAAGATTGAAGGGAAGCAGTTCAATAGAAATGATGGTGACAGTACAACAAACAGGAAAAGTATGGATCATTTGATTGGTGGCATTGAGGATGTCCACTGTATTGATAGGAACCTGAAATTAAGTAAGCAGAAGAAAAAGTCATCATCTCAAAAAGAATTGGATGGCCTTGATTTGTCGAGAAGGGATTCCGGAACTGGACGAATTTTGATAGCAGCAACTTCTAGTTCTTCAAAGGTTTCCAGTTCTAGTAAAACCAGAGGAAATTTTGAAGAAGCAAGGGGTTCACCAGTTGAATCAGTGTCTTCATCGCCAATGAGGACCTCATATCCAGGAAAACTTGCATCAACTGCTGGTTCAGGGAAGGATGCTGCTAATAGTGGAATTCCTTCAAGTGGCAGTCTTGGAAGATGTTGGAATGGTGAAGGTGATTTTGAGCTTGCTCAATCTGGTGTAGAAATGAAAGAGAAAGTGTCAGTTGATTTTAACCCTGGATACCATAAATTTTCTACCTTGGATTATCGGGATAAAGACTCTGTTTGCAAAATCAGCATTAAAAGTAAACCTTCTTCTAGGTTGAGCCATGTGCTCAATGGTGATTCTCGTTCTGCTGAAAATGCGCAGCATACTGTAGAATGTTCCCATAATGAGGATAGACTGAACAAGGAGTGTGGTAGGAATGCATTATTTTCTCAAATATCTAAGAAGGTTTCTACTTCACAGACAAAAGACAATAAAAAATGTTCTGCTGCAGATAAGATGAAATGTAGCGAGGATGGGAAGAACTATTCTGGAAGGAGGAATCCTTCAGGACAACCATCAAGTGATAGTAGAATGGGGACCCAATAAAAAAAAAGCATGATGAATTCAGTGTAAAATCTGCTGCTCCATGCAGCAAAAAGGGGAACAATACCCCTGAGCAAAATGTGATCCAGGATTTTAGCGGTCAAACTAAAGTAATGCAAGTAGAGGTAAGAAGCGGAATGACAAAATCATCCCTGTGTTCTGGAACTGAAAGTTGGCAAGAGAAAAAGTGTCATCGAACAGTCCCAGAAGCAGAACATGGAGTTGTCTCTGATGAGGTTCCAGTTAATGGTTCTTCCAGCGTCAATGTGTCAAAGGCTCTAAAACAGCCTGGAAAAGCTAGCAGCAAGAATGCTTGCAGTCTTGTGAGAGAAAATTCCTTCAGCCTGACAGTAACAAATGCACTGAATGATGCTAAAGGACTTAGAATTTATGCCGATCGTCTAAAGGTTTCTTTTCAGATTTTGTCCTTATATTGATAAGCTTCTTCCATAAAAAGTTATATAACAGAAATGGTTTTGTTATTCTAACTGTTACTACCATTTCCTTGCCCATTTTCAGAGTTCTGGCTTTGTTTTTGAAAGCAATGAGATTTACTTCCAAGCTGCTCTTAAGTTTCTTGGTGTTGCTGCCCTTCTAGAGACCAGTAATAGTGAGAGCGGTAGACATGGAGACATGAACCAAATGCAAGTGTATAGCATTGCCACTAAACTTTGCGAGTAAGTGAATGTTTCTAAAGTGAAGGGAAACTGTTGTTTCTTGAGCTTGAATATAATTTTTTGGTTTAAATTAACAGTATGAGGGTTGATATATCCCTATATTTTGCTCTATCTTGAAATTCTCAATTTGACAGAATGTGTGCCCAAGAATATGAAAAATGCCAAGAAATGGCTGCTGCTACTTTGGCCTATAAATGCGTGGAGGTAGCGTACATAAGGGTTGTTTTTTGCAAACATTCTTCTAGCAGCAGAGACCTGAAAGAGTTGCAAGCAACTCTACAGATGGTCCCCCAAGGTAAGAAGTCATTGGAGGAATACTTGGATTTTCCCCATGATTTATTGCCAATCCCTTTAGATGGTATGAACCTTCTATATTGTAATGTTTCATTTTAAAATGTGAATTATGTGCAATATAAGTTGTGTCCTCTTTAGGGCAGGAGCTCTGCAACTGTGATTTGTTTATTTGGCAATCAGCAGTGCACGTTGTTTTATGCCATGTAGATATTTCATATTTGGTTTTCCCTTCCTACAGAGCACTCATTGGGCTAGTGCCCCAATTGTAATTGCATATCATGCTTTAAGGAGTCTAACATAAAGTATCCACTGTAAATATATGCTTTTTGTTTTGGTTAAGGTGCGACATCAGTTGAAAATTTTGTTTCTTTCATATTAATTAGTAGTCTCGCTTTCATGATGCAATGCTCAGATTAAATACTTCCCAACATCATTTTAAATGGCCTCTTTCAGGTGAATCTCCATCATCTCCTGTATCAGATGTTGATAATAACTTAAATAATCAAGCAATTGTAGACAAGGCTCCATTAGCCAAGGGAAATGTTTCACATGTTGCTGGAACCCATGCCGTTGTTGCTAGAAACTGCCCGAGTTTCAGACGGCTGCTTGACTTTGTAAGTTATTTCTGTCTGAAAGTGCTAATCTTCCCCATCACCATCCTCTCTCTTTCTCTCGCTCTATTACGCAGTGATTATGCCTATAAATATTCTTTTCCACTTGAATGTTCCTTCATAGTTGAAGACCATTATATGGACTTATAAAGTAGTTATGAGGTGGTTGAAGATGGATATGTGTTAATTTGGTGGAAATAAGATGATAATCTGAATCCTATCAAAAAAAAAAAGATGATAATCTGAATGAAGACTTGTCGAACAGGATAATGACTAATGAGATTACCTAGCAGGCTAGCCCTGGCATACAGTATAGATTTGCATTTTCTGACCAGGGTTCTTTGGTAGTGTAGGTCTTTCTTAACATGCTGGCAGTAGAAATAATTCTTTTTATTGTTTTGCTATATGATTAGAACAGGAAGTCAATGCACTTGTTTTTATGTACCGTCTAATAGATTGGTGTTAACACCCTGGCCAACCTTCTTGTAGATTTAGTGTCAGGCTTATGCTGTTTTTCTGCTTAATTTGAGAGTTTGCCTGTCCTGGAGTTTGGAAAAAAGAAAAAAATAATAAATAAGATCTGAAGTCTGTGCGATGTTTATTTTAAATAAAGCTACAAAATCATTCCGTACTGGTCATAGATAACCACCTGGTATAATCTCATACGAACTTGGTAAGAGTTCTGTCTCTCAATGTCTATGCTAGCTGATTAGGTGGTTCAAGTAGGTTAAATGTGTTAATAAGTTAATGTTCTGCAGACACAGGATGCAAGTTTTGCCATGGAGGCCTCTAGAAAATCCCAAACATGTTTCATAGCTGCTACTTCATCTCTGGAAGATCCACAAAATATAGAGTGGATTGCTTCTGTTAAAAAGGTGATTGATTTCGGCTTTCAAGATGTAGATGAACTTATATCTTTGGTTCAGCAGGCTACGCAGGCCATAAGTCGTTCTGGCTAGGTAGTGCTAGAGATTAAACACCCTGTATATAATTTTTTGTTTTTCTTTTTATAACCCTCCCGATGCGCATTGGAGAAGAAAGGTGAAAAAGATGCCTACATAGACCTGCATTTGGAAACAAACAAAGACACCGGTCGTGAACAAACTATTGCCTCAGTGTACATCTGTATAAAGTGAGATTGATTTGCAAATTTGCAATGTATATTTTTTCTTAGCCTACTCATCAATAAGAGCACATGATGCTCGCAAAGAGGGGAAATTCTAGCTTGTTCAGCTAGAGATTCGGAGTTCTATTTAAGATATCGGTTCTTATCGTACTTTATTTTTCGCTCCATTTTTTCGGGGCCGAGGAAAAGAATATATAGGGAGTTCGGAATTCATTAGGCAATCATTTTCAATAGGTTGAATACTGATTAGTTTTGAGAAATAATCAATTTATCCACTAACAGTTCTCTATTCTGTTTCCAAATTCTCTCTCGGAATTCTATTGGAACCGAAAATTATATTCTTTTGGAAGATGGTTGTGTATTTTAATTGTTGTCTAGCTGAGTTTGATTCAGATAACAGTGCAGGTTTCCAACATAAAGATTTTTCTGGTGCTTGTTTCTCCCTTGTTCTGGCTTGTTTCCATCGCTTGTTAGAACTGCAGGATATCTATGTTACTTGGATTCGAGAGTCGGATACGTTAACATTTCGTATTATATAAGATTTTAATATGTTTGTCTTTGTATCATATTCGGATTATGTAACTAAATGTATTAATCGGATTCGGGGCTTGTGTCATATACCATCATTTCAATACCCTTATCTCAACTACCAAAGCTACAAAATATCCTAATTAACAAAACCCTAAGTGTCAGAATTTGCCAAAAAAAATCATAACTTTAAGCAACAAAGTTGTGACTTGAAACACTAGCAACATTTTCTCAGCAACCAAACAAGAAATTAAATTTAACATTGAAGTAAAGATTAACAAGAAAGCCCGTTCTCTCAAACATGGATCATGTTGCTTCTCATCCTTCAGGAGATTCATCAGCCTGTTTCTTCTCTTTCATTTCATTTTCATAAACAGATATCAATTCATATTCAACAATCTGTAGCCATTTGAAAATGAGAAAAATAAGTCAGAAACAGAGACTTATGTTACTTGGACATGAGTGTGAGTGTCGGACATGTATCGTGTTCGACATGAGTACTTCCAAGTAAAGAAGCGAAACAAGAAACGAACCTCAAGTAACTTCTTTTGGCTCGTATTCTGCAAATAACAAGAAACTGTCTCTCTTTCATGTTTCAAGTAGCATTCAACCTAAATTTTCAACATAAAAAATGCAGAAGATTGATCAGTTCTGGATGGAAAACAGGGATTTAAATGCATCTGAATACATGTCTGCGACCGCACCTTAAGCATGTAATCGTTGTAAGATCCATTTTTGATCCAGTTAGCGGCCTTGGTGGAATAAAATGCAGCAGTAGCTTTAAGCATGGCTTCTTCAAAGTCTCGTTCATAGTATTTCATCGAGCCTTGCCCAACATCTACATAGATACCTACAATGTTCTTCACCAAGGTTTGATCAATGCCTTCTCCTTCCCGCTCCTGATTGATCTAAATTAAAACCAGATACTTTACGACATTTAAGTAGTTGTAAATGCAGCAAGACCGAAAACGCGAATTTTAAGTATAGAAGAAATGCATGCAGAAGCTTGTTCATACCATGGACAATACAACATCTCTGATTTGATTATTGAATTCTCCAAATACCTTGACAAAACAACACATCCATATAACTAAAATTTAGGTTTGTCATTGAATATTGTTGAAGCATTTCATGTTCATAGGGCATTTGCGTTCAATTTTTTATGAGATTTTGTCTCTCGTACTCTTCTGTTTGTGTGCGGAAAGATTCGATCTCATAACCTTAAGTATGACTCGAATCTTCCTACACACAAATGCTCACATTTCACATTTATGTAAACCTTTCGTGACTCTTCATATGATCGAGTGAACGACAAATACGTAGACACCTCAGAAATACAATATCGAATATTATATACAAAAGAATTTAGGACTGACCAGATTATAGAACGATAAAAGAGCAGAGTCTTGGAGAGTAGGAAGCTTCCTTTTAGGAGCAAAGTATCTATCCAAATAGTGAAAGAATCTAACGAGCCATCTGGTCATAACTTTGTGATTTGACCATCTTTTTACTGTCTCTTTCACCAAAGCTTCATCTTCTTTCCCTTGCAGTGATGGCAAAACCTGGCTGTTGATGTAATCTTTGAAAACATCGTTATACTTCTCATATAATACCTCACACATTCCACCAGTAGGGTTAGGATTACACATGTTGTACACAGTTCTAACAATTAGTTAAGGAAACCTACCATTTTTACGATCTGAAAGTATCAACCGAGCAAAGACTCAATCAACTATTGATCAGTAGGATTAGGCTTACACATGTTGTACACAGTTCTAGCAATCAGTTAAGGAAACCTACCATTTTACTATCGGAATGTATCAACTATTAACCGATCGCTAAGACTCAATCGACTATTGACTAGTAGGGTTAGACTTACACATGTTGTACATAGTTCTAGCAATTAGTTAAGGAAGCCTACCATTTTTACGATCCGAATGTATCAACCGAGTTAAGACTCAATCAACTATTGATCAGTAGAGTTAGGCATACACATGTTGTACACAGTTCTTGCAATTAGTTAAGCAGAACCCACCAATTTTTACGATCTGAATGTATCAACTGAACTAAGTCTCGATTGACTATTGATCAAAAGGGTTAGGCTTACAGATGTTGTACACAGTTCAAGCAATCAGTTAAGAAAACCCACCATTTTTTACTATCCGAATATATCAACTGAGCTTAGACTCGATCGACTATTGACGTTAAAATCGAATAAAAGGATACGTGTAGATGTTCATGTACTCTTGGGATGAAAACTTTGGGTCTTGTCGCCTTCTATGATCTGAATCAGTTTGTCGATTCCTTGTTGAATCACTGCCCATCCTTCTTCAACCTCCATCATCATGTGCTGTTGATGTTCTTCGGTGCCTGCCATGGTTTTCAAGGAAATGAGATGGAAGATGGTCTGGAATTTGATAATGTAACAATCGTTGACTGAAAAGACTTTGAATTTTCTTGTCTGCTAAAGCCGTTGAGTGGAAGTTTCTTTCATGATTCCTTTATTTTACCCAAAGCAAACTTCGTCGTCCTCTTGATCAAACTAGTCATCATCAATATATTGGGTAAAAAACACAGGATGTCACATACTATATAAAATTATATTTTTGGTCAACAACCTTTTAATTATTACAAAATAGTCATTAGACTTCTTAAACAGTTACAAAATGATTTCCTACAACGTTAGAATAATAATATTTTTTTATAAGACCATCTTATAATAGTTCGATAAATTTTAATCATCATTTTATAATTTAAAAGATTAATAATATTTTTTAACATTAGAAAGATTATTGACCAAAACATCTCAAAACAATTAAATAAGGGTTTAATATTTTCGTGTCTATTCAAATAATAACCTGACCTTTTAAAACGGTTGAATAAGAGCTTAACATTTTTTTAATAAACTCAAGTAGGCTCTAAAACTTTTCAAAAACATTATTTTAAATACACTTATTTGATGAAATTTAAAATTGTTGAATCCTTATTTAACCGTTTTAAAAGGATAAACACCTATTTTAAAAGACCTTGTTTGAAGATGCATGGGAAAAAATGTTGTTGATATTAAAGGGAGTATATATAAAATAGACTCCTTTAATTGCATGCAAAAATTAATTAAGGCACTGATTTTTTTCCCTTTCGATTTTAAAATTTTATCTTGATTAATCTCGATTGACTTGTATCGTGCATCTAATTTGATAGATGAGTTTCTCAGCAAATATTTTTTTACATATATAAAGTTTTAAACTCGAGAGATGCTTAAACAAAATCTAATTAATTTTAAGATTAATTGACAGTACACGTCATGTTATTCATTGTATAATCAAGAGACAAATTTTGTAATTTAATACTTTTAAAATTTTATTTTTATTTTTATTTTTTAGATATACAAGTATTATATTTCTGAACCGTAATATATCACAATCTTTTAATTAAAGACTGATTTGATTATAATTTTTTATATAATAATACATTTAATAAATAATTTAATATAGGAACTCATTTGATTTTTAGGTATAATTAAAGTAAGGCAAACCAACGTTGTTTCATAGAAAATCACCACGTGGTAAACAAGAATCAACCGTCACTCTGCTATATTAAAGAAACTAGCGCGTGGTCTCCACACATGATTTATCCTCTTTTTCCTTCGTAGCTCTCTTTCTACCCGAATAAATCCCAGAAATAATAACGTTGGACAGTTTTAATATACGGTTAAAAAAAGATGTTATCAGTTTTATTATTGTTTAAATAATAAATCAATAAAAAATGATCGAAAACATTATTAGGCGTAAAAAATGACCGATTTTGTTATTATTAGACATTTTAACCGAATTTTCAAAAGAAATATCAAAAACATTATTAAACGCTAAAAAATAACCGAAATATTACTAGACGTTAAAATATTAAAAAATAATATTTTAAATAAAAATAATAATATTATCAATAATTTTTATCAATTTTATTATTTAAATAATAATAACTGATAATAACTTATTTTAAACTTAAATTAAAGTGTCCGGGTTTTTAAAGACCGTATAGTTTGGGAACAATGATATAGAAGCAAAATAGCAATCTGGGTGTTTTCCTTTATCCCGGAAAGCAGAAGGTTATAACTAAATGGGCGGAGAAATAAGGGAGAAAATGGGTCAGGCATTTCGTCGAGCGACTGGTAGGCTCCGATCGGTGGATCAATCACAACCCACAAAAAACAAGAAGACCTTTGGGTCCCACCGATGAACAGAAGATACCCAGAGCTTCCCAGCATGAAGGTAATTCATTTCCCTATTCAGATAAAATGAAAGTTAATTTTTACTTTGAGTTCTTATGTTTCCTGGTAGATGATTGAATTTGAATCTTTGGGATTTAAAGGTAGAGTTACGAGAAGTAATCCTGAGAATGTGCTGGAAGAAAGAGATCCCAAGTATGATGCAATGCTTAGTCAAATAGTGGGTAGGATTTCAGCTAAGCCTGGTGGCAAACTTGAGATGGGTGAGGTCAGTTCAGTTCATTAAAGTTTTATTTCTCTTTTCTCTAATTTGGTTATATTTTAGTGAATAACAGTTAATTCAAAAAGGTAATTTATAGCTGTAATAGTTAATTCAAAAAGGTAATTTATAGCTATAATAGTGTTCGATAGAATCAAAACAATGCCTTAGGTAGGATTTCCCCCCAAAGGTTTCCACTTGAAGGAAATGGAATGTAGAGACTAGGAAACCATTCAAAGAACTAAACCACTAAACATATTTGAAGTAAAATTGCTCAGAAGTTTGATTCATGGACTGGCTATGCCTTATAGCCGTTTCAATTCTATTATCCAAAAAAGCCCTTTCTTCATATTGAGAACCTAAAATCGAACAAAACTACTAAGTGAGACTCAATCTCGTTTAATAAAAACAGAAACCTGCTTTTGAGTTGAAAAGCTGGAATGGAGAGAGATAGTGACGTTGAGAGAGTAAAATTGAGAGGGGAATTTTCTTCAGAGAATGTTTGGACGGCGTTCGTTGATCATCTCAGTAAAAGAGTGTCTCGACGAGAGTTAAGGGAGTTGTTTTCATCTCACGGTCCGGTAGTCAGAGTGTTCATTCCCAGAGAAACAAGGAATCCGAAATACAAATTCTTCACTTTTGCTTTTGTGCATTTTGGCAATGAGGAAAGTCTAAGAAGGGCGATAGCCAAACTGAATGGTTCGATGATTGATGGTTGGAGGATTTCAGTGGGTACTGCAAGATACAAGGATGCTAGGGTGAGGTCAGTCGGGAAGAACACTTCTTTGGTGATGCCTTCAAGGTCGAACACAGAAGATCTTTCAAGGTTCAAAGAGAAAGGTGTTATTAACAGGAGTGTAAGGGATACAAGATCTTACAAGGAGGCCTTACTGTCTGATAGATTGAAGAACAATGCATCGGACCATAGGGATCGGTCGATCGATGGTTTCAACAGGAGGAAAGGTATAAAAAATAGTTGGGAAATGCATATTCCGTCTGAGAGCTCCAGTTGGGTGAAGAGATCATTAACGGGGATCATCAAACATTCTTTTGAGTTCGAATTAGTCCAGAAGGCCTTAGTTAATGAAGGTTTTGATGTCCAGATCTCCAGATGGGGTTATGTCTGGAATTCGTGTGTTATTACATTTAAGTCGACTGAAGAAATGATGGATGCATGGCTAGAGAAAAATGATGAGTTATTTTTCTGGTTTGATAGGTTGGCACTTTTATTGAACGATGATGGTGTTCCAATGGCTTTTTGCCTCGTACATCTGTTTGGGGTTCCATTGTTATGTTGGCAAAATTCCTTTTTGGAACGGGTAGCAGGAAAGTGGGGATTGGTGGAAGAGATTCATGAAGATATAGTTATCAGAGCAGACCTATCGATGGTGAAGATTTTGGTTAGGGTGGCCAGCCCTTATGACGTCCCTGAGGAGATAACTATTGGATCCTATGGAAGATCGTTCAAAGTTAAGATTAAGCTGGGTTCGGTGCTTGAGTATTCTTCCGTTTCCTTTAACAAGTCGCCGGTGGGAGGTTCCGACGATAGACAATTTGGTGAGGAATTTTCTGGAGACAAGGTTGACAGTAGTCTGTCAGATAGCATGGAAAGTGCTGAACGTTCAGAAGAAAACAACAGACAAAAGGTAGATATTTGGTTTGACCAAGGAGCTAACACGGGTTTGGTTGGAGTTGGTGAGGAAATTCAACTCCCAACGTTTAACAAAGTTGGGAAAGGCATTAATTGTGTGCTGTCAGCGTGTCAGGATCTTGGGACTAACAATTTTGGTGAATACGCGGGTTTGGGATGTAGATTTTCAAATTTTTCGGCTGATGGGTCTATAGCCCAATCATCAGATAATGGGCAACTTGGTTCTCCACCTCTAAAAATTATTCCAGCTGGGCCTGGTGTTAAGCTGGATAAATTTGGGAAAATGGACCAGAAGCAGTTTCTGGTTGAATTTGCAAACTCAAAGGAAGATAAAAATGGAGGTATGCCACTTTCTGGTTTGAGAAAGTGTTCTAGAGGATTGGAATCAAATTTAGAGGAAAAGTCGATTGACTACATTTTATGTTCTGGAAGTAAGATTTCCAGGGGAAGAACGCTTGATCGACCCAACTCTCCATTGACTACAAAGAGTGAACCGTTGGAAAAGAGAAGTATTAGCTTCAAAAGGGTCTACAAGAGATCCAGGGAGAGAAGACATTGGTTAGAGAAAGATGAAATTGTTGTTCCTCGAGAAGAGGAATCTCTAGAGAGGCTAAATGGGAAGATTTTGGATCCTAATTCAGTTCTGCCGGTCAGTGCAGTTGCAGAACCTAATTTGGAAGGTTGTATGGGGTCTACTTTGGAGAGACAGGTTGTTGACAGCAGTTTGGATAGTATATGGGAAGGGTGGCACTTAGAAGGAGATAGTTATTCCTTCAACTCTAAGTCCTTTAATAGAAGAGCCAAAGATTGTTGACCAGATTGGCATTGGATCAAGTTAGCATTGAAACAGTTTCTTCTTCAGATTTTGTTGTTCTTTTGGAGGAAGCTATAGCTACTTGGGAAATCAGTAATAGATTGGGTGTGTCTTTCAAGGGTGGGAAATCATCTTTTTTGGAGAAAATCATAAAGTTGGAGGAGGATTTGAGGCTGGTTTGATTTTCGGTGTTTATTGGGTTTTCTAATACTTATTTGAATCATGATGAAATTTCAATTAGCCATTATTACGTGGAACGTTAGGGGTTTGGGAAGGAAGGAAAAACACAGAGCTGTTCAAAATCTAGTTTTAAAGAGACGTCCTATTCTTCTTCTATTGCAAGAAACAAAAGTGGAGAAGGTTCAGGGACAATTTCTAAGGAGAAGTGGTTTGAATACTCTTCAAGGTTTTGCAGAATCTCCAGCAGTGGGTTCTTCTGGAGGGCTATTGAGTTGCTGGGATGAGTGCTCTTTTGAAGTTGACAACCTTATTATAAACAGAAGGTTTATTGCAGTTTTTGGAAAGTTTCTAACTTCACAGTTTAGGTGTGGTTTTATTAATGTTTATGGGCCTAGTATCGAAGAAGAGAAAGCAAGCTTCTTTGAAGAGTTAGCTGTTTTTATTTGTGGACTGAATATCCCTTTATGTGTGGGAGGTGATTTTAATGTGCATCTTTCTGAAGAAGAGAAGGTGGGGAGAGCTCCAAACAGAAGTTCAATAAGAATTTTCAGCCAATTTCTGCAACATACAGGGTTAATTGATTTACCTTTACATGGGGGCAGATTCACTTGGTGTACCAACCAGGATTTACCCACCTATGTTAGACTGGACAGGTTCCTCGTTGATGTTCATTTCCTAGAAGCATTTCCTGATGTTACACAATACTTGTTGCCAAGGTCAGTGTCAGATCATAATGCTGTTTTTCTGGAGAATGAGGGGGTCAGTTGGGAGAAGAAACCGTTCAAACTCTTTAATTATTTGATGGAAGAGGACGGTTTCCAGAATTTAGTTGAGTCTACTGTTAAAGAATGCAAGTCTGATCAGAGGAAAGCAAGAATTCTATCTATCCTGAAATCCACTAAACTGTCGATCAAACAATGGGCGGGGAAAAGAGACCATTTTCCTTCTGTAGAGATTACAGATTTAGAAAAGAGGATTCACTTGGAAGAGGTGAACTTGCAGCAGAGGCAAGGTACATATGTTTGGGACACAGGATCAGATTTGAACAATATGAGATCAGAATTATGGAGGTTGTATAAGATTGAAGAACAAATATGGTTTCAAAAATCGAGAGCTAGATGGGTAGAAGAAGGGGACCGCAATACAAGATTTTTTCATACTTGTGCGTTGATTAGGAGAAAGAGGAATTCCATGAATGTTTTGAATGTCAATGGAGAGATAACTCAAGATCCATCTGTCATCAAAGCTTGTGTCAAAGATCATTTTTTTGGAATTTACAACTCTAGTTCTACTTTGGAAGTAGAAGATATGAAGATGAATTTTTCAAAAATTTCAGTGGAGCAAAGTAATATTCTGGAAAAAGAATTCACGGAGGAAGAAATATGGGAGACTCTACAATCATGTGATAGCAACAAAGCTCCCGGCCCGGATGATTTTAATATGGGTTTCTTCAAGAAATTTTGGGTTGTTCTTAAGGTTGATATTCTGAAATTCTTTCATAACTTTTATTTAGTAAAAGATTGGGAACATGGAGTAAATCATACTTTCATTACTCTTATCCCCAAGGTGGCCAATATTGGTGGATTAGATGACTATAGACCTATAAGCCTTGTAGGAGGTTTGTACAAGATCCTCTCAAAATGTCTTTCGAGGAGATTAAGGAATTGCATTTCTGATGTAATGAGCCCTATGCAGTTTGCTTTCATTCCAGGTCGTCAAATTCTGGATTGTTCTCTTATAGCCAATGAGGGGATTGATTTTTGGAGGAAAAAGGGACTCAAAGGATGTGTGTTTAAAGTGGATTTTAGAAGGGCATATGACACTGTGGATTGGTCTATTCTTTTTAAGGTTATGGAGAAAATGGGTTTCGGTTCTAAATGGAGAAGTTGGATAAAACAATGTGTTACTACTGCTTCTATTTCAGTTTTGATAAATGGGGTACCTTCTCAGGAATTCCTATGGCAAGGGGTCTCCGCCAGGGCTGTTCTCTTTCGCCCTTGCTTTTTAACTTAGTTGGGGAACTCCTAAATGTCTTGCTCTTAAAGGTTGTCTCTGATGGATTGTTTTCTGGTCTGCATATTGGGAGGAATGAGACTGCTTTCAACTTATCTCATCTGCAATTTGCAGACGACCTAATTATTTCTGTGGGGCTTCGAAAATGGAGATTTCAAATGTTAAAAGGGTTTTAAGAGTGTTTGAAGTTATGTCTGGTCTGCAGTTGAATCTTAAGAAAAGCAAGTTATTTGGTGTTAATACGGCTACATAGGAGGTAGAGGAGTGGGCGTCGTCTATTGGCTGTGCAGTGGGGAAATTTCCTTCTGAGTATCTAGGTCTGCCGCTTGGTGCAACACGGAATTCAACATC